AGCTGAAGAATGTTTGTTTGAACGCGCTAATCTCAAGAACTACTGGTCCGATTTGAAAAATATTTTTGTGTTGGATAGCCCATTTATCGAGGAAGGCTTTAGGCTATATAACATCACTCTACAGCCAATAGGTGCGGAGCAGTAAAGAAAAATGTTGCAAAAACGGGGAATATTGTCAATCCAATCACAGTTGAAAAAAAAACAGATTATTGCATTAGAATTTATGTTTCAGAATAGCTAACACTATAGGTCTTATTACAAAAAAGTTAAACCCGGGACTAACACTGATTTTAAAAAAAAAGATACATTCAGTCGAACATAATAATATAAACTCAGCTTTTTTTGAAGTCGGTTAATGATTAGACTTTCTTAGCTCAAAATTCACGCGGGCAACGCCACAGGTAGAAGCTAAAGTATGTTTATGAATTTCTAATTACAAATCATAATCTTCGAAACGGATTCAATTTGTTTACACTCGGAGAACGCTAGAAATTTCACTAACAACTTTGAATGCATTGACCATTTCTTGCAATGATTCATCAGTACAATTCGTCAGTTGGATCCGAGCTTTATTGTCACACGAATAAAGTTTATTTTCGTTGATTTGAATAGCCGTCCCACTTACTTTTTTCTTTAGTAATTTGTCTTGGTTTACAAGGCGATAAACTGAAACCAAGAACGAATTTACGACGATAACTTCACACTAAAGCGTTTGAACAATAAGTTTTAAACTTAGATTTGAGATAAAAGCACATTGGGTTACTTACATATTTCATGCATCTTAAACTTTCGTAGACGCTGCTCGGATCATAAACTCATTTCTACTTTTTTACTTTCCAAGATGTGATTGAACTTTTAAATGTCTCATAAAATTATCAGTACAAAAACTATGGGTCTCAGAACCCAGCTGATTTCACTAACGAAAGTGACGTATGAGATTTTCTTATTAATTTCACTCGATTCAATTCGATCACACGTCGCACAATCACTGCATTTGCCGGATACTCAAAGCTTGATAAGAAACTGTGGTCCAAATAAGGAGCCTTGTGGGACGCCTAATTTCACTTCGGTTTTAAACGCAAGCGCACGTCTACCTTCCGTGGGCGGTGCGACTGTATGACGTGGTATTGAATTGACGGGCGATCTACGTTCCGTTATGTCTATAGTTGGGGATCAATCGAGTGCTACATGGTCCAACGCTTTTCTAAAGTCAGTGAACGAGCGTGGAACGCATAGTCGCTCGTCGATGGATAGTTAGTGATGTGGAATTATACGCTAGAGCTGTAGTAACGTTTGTATCATGGTGGTGGGAAGGGGGGATTGAGCCAGACGCTCTCATGGTACAATTGTTTATGTTCTATGTTGTGATGGCACGTGCTGAGGGAAATAGTCCGACAGTACGCGGTACACATGCTTTTTATATCCTGTTACTTTTTATTGGCTGTTATTTCAATTACGGACAAGATATTTTCGACATGACATGTGTCATGTTGGTAATTTAGATGTTTATTTATTTTAATTAACACAAGTTGTGTGTAATTTATATTAGGGAAAATCTTACTAGTTAGATCTTACAATGCTTATCTGTGTAAAGTTAAAGATATACGAGTAATTTATTATAATCCATATTTACATAAATGTAATCATTGTGCAAACCATTTTAGACATCGAATTACTCAAATAATAAATAGACCCACTTTTCATTTAGAACATAAAACTTCGAATAATGAATGCAAATAACATAGAAACGTTCTCAGCCCCATTTTAACTGATGATTAATGGTCATATCTTCTCTCGTACGCCATAATGAGTAGCTCTAGGGTCAGTAATTATAATTCTTTCAATAGCCGGAAGTTTGTATAATGGGCCATTACACAGTTATGTCATACTCATTGTTCTGGCTGCTGTAATGTAGTTCGATCGTCAGATGTTGGTCTTACTATGGTTGAATGACATTGTAGATTGTTTCTGGAGATTGCTATGTCATATTTACTTACTTCTGTATGCCCTTTTATTGATGGGGCTGTACGTATTGAAACGGTTTTTTGTGCTAAGGATATAATCGAATAGGTCTAATCTTTACCAAATGTCTACTTTTTCTTTAATATTCATGAGGTAATAATTCGAGTTATCCAGTATTAGAGTTTAGCCATTCTAATTTATGTTTAGTATCTAGGTTTTGTTAAAAATTGTGTTCAAGTTATTTTTCAGAAGTCGTCCTAAATAGCATCCATCCGTTTCCGAAAAAAAAGGTCTCGCTACTCATTTTTTTTATTTACGTTTTATGTCTTACAGAATCTCAATACAATTTGGTAATTTCGTAGATACAGAAAGACCTATTTCATCAAGAAGTGTACTGATAACGTAATATATGGAAACCTTAATGATGCAAAGATTCCTGAGTTCCAAGCCCTAGTTTACACTTCACCGGTTACACATTCTTGAGGAGTAAATAGAGTGCGAGGATTAAGAAAATATGGGGTAAGATGTAACTTATACCCTACTAGTAGCCTTCTAGGTTACGTTATGAGTGTTACGACAACACAATAATGTAAAATCTTTATCTAAGTCAATAAAAATGGACAAAACTGATAATCCAAAAACGTCTAATGTCATTTAAGTTATAATAGATACACGCCCGTATTCACAAATACTACTATGAGCGCGTACTACAGCGCGTGGACGCACAGGATGACACACGAACCAATCACAGAGCTCTATTCAACGCTGTGCGTTCGATTTGCTGCGTCACTTCAGCAAGCATCGTTTGTGAATACGGGCGTTTATCTAAGTCAATAAAAATGGACAAAACTGATAATTCAAAATCGACTAATGTCATTTAAGTGATAATAGATATAGAAAGTGAATTAAGTAATACAAAATTGAAATGAAAGTGAAGCTAGATCATTGATTTTGTATCAATGATTTGCTACATTCTAACCGGATTTAAGTCGCAAACTACCACAAAAAAGACAGAAATGACACCAGAAAGATAACTTATCATCATCAGGTCATTTCGTCTCCACTCCAGGAGCACGACCCTCTAATTGACCAGAGGCAAATGGAGGATTTGGCCTACACTCCCCACGCTGGCCAGACGGGTTGGGGAGGCCTGATGCTCGCGTATTTGTCCCTTAGTCGCCTCTCACGACATCCACGGGAAGAGTGGGGGTGGTCCTAATTAACTCTACCGGCTAATTTACCATAACCTTAAACTTAATTAACCCGAAATAAAATACATTTAGGTATTTACTATAGTTCTTCTGATTAGTTTTGTTGTTGGTCCAATGACAGTTTAGCTTTCCCCGGGGCAAACTTGACCCTCACTGGTTGGGTTGTTGGCGGTCAAGCTGTATATCCTGGCTACACAGGAGTTGCAGCGGTGGGAACGAGACGTGGGAACAGTCCCGTATTTAGTAGAGTACCCAATCAATTCTTAGCAGAAATGAGAAAGATATTGAATAAGAATTTGATTACACCAATCAAAGTAATAAAAATCAAGAGGCTTACAAAGAAAGGGGCATTTCACGAGCCAACAAAACATTATCTTAAACACCGTAATAATAACATATGATTACAGAATTACAGTACGGCAACTCTGTAATTTGCTATGTCGTACAATCGTTTGTAATTACAAGTTTTTCATAGAAAACGGGGAAATCACTTGCTACATAGTTATTTGTTAGGCTCTACATGTCACATGAAAATGGCGGTAACCGTTTGTTTACTTGGGTCGTTGTACTGCATTTGCATGAAGAAATTGTGGTCTGCCGATATTACAAAAATAAATATTTCAGTAACTAAACTAATAATAACTAGCGGCCGCCCGCGACTAAGTACCCGTGGACCCCGTTTTACCTCCTTCGGGGTTGAATTTTGGAAAATCCCGTCTTTATCTCTTTAAATTTTCATTAGTTTGAAAAAGTGAAAAATACGTGTAGAGTATTTTTTGATAAGTTAACTGACGGACTAATTAAAACTCTTGCTTTTTGACCCAGGCAACATCCCCATTGGCTAAAAAAAAATTAAAATGATATTTTCATACACAAGAATAAGTAAACAAGAAAACAATGCCTAAGTGGAAACAGCGTTTTATTGATATGCCAAAGGCTAATGCCCGCCATTTTCATTAACATAATGATTAAATTCGATTCCCATCAAGTCTTTGGACAAAAAAACTTATCAGACAGAATTAATCTCTCTCCTATAAAAGGATTACAAATCATTTAATTACAAAAAGTAATCTTGTCCAAATACGTAACAAATTCAGATTTGTAACTGGTCAATTGAGATTAACAAAAAACCTACCTACTTAGATTAGGCCGTTTGTGTGGGTAGTCAAAAATATGGGTTTTGCAATACTTGCACCACCGGTCGCGCCCACGCGTCAAGATTTAGTCATACTTACCAACTTTGTAAACTAAAACTAATAATACTCACGTGAGATCAATTGTTTGATAAAAATGTAAAACTTTTTATTTAGGCCATTTTCAAAGATCAAAGAGCAAAAGAAACAAAGCAGCGCTTGTCTCTACTATATTCTATCTATTTACTTTATCATCATCATCTCAGCCATAGGACGTCCACTGCTGAACATAATATGTTTCCCCCAATGCTTTCCATGTTGCCCGGTTGGTAGCGGCCTGCGTCCAGCGCCTTTCTGTTTTCTCTCTATTTACTTAGCACAACTAAATAATAATCAAATATCTTGTTAAGTCGTAGATGACTCAGCGAATCTGCGAACATCTGAGCCCCGATTACGGTAACTGTTGCTTGTGTAGGGGCCAGGGGACGCGATGACAAATGAAAACTGCTTATTTCAAACTGCACTGTTTTTAATTGCACACAAATCACATACTATGTACATTGAGAGTGACAGACAAACAAGGACTGACAATTTTTTCCACAATCGGTTCGCTCCTTCCNTTAAACTCACGTTTAGAAAAACCAGTTCAGATCTGGCAAGTTAATTATCCTCTTGAGTCTGTATAAATAGGAAAGATTCAACCGAAGACTTCACACATCGAATCTTCATCTCTGTGGAATCGTTTCTCCTGACTTCAAAATAAACAAAATGGCCGCCATGAAGACTGCCCTGATGCTGCTGCTCGTCGCCTTCGCCTTGATGGTGGTGACGGAGGCCGCCGTCCGCGTCGGGCCCTGCGACCAGGTCTGCAGCCGCATAGACGCCGAGAAGGATGAGTGCTGCAGGGCCCATGGTCACAGCGGATGGAGCAGCTGTAGTGGCGGGATGTATTGCTACTGACACCACAGCACCACGTCCAAGCAAACAAATACTCGCGACGACACAACTGCTAGGAAAAGAGCACTGACTGCATCTTGAAATGTTTAGAGTCTAAAATTGTTAGTTGTAAGTTTTTTTTATTTGTGGCAAAATTAAACTTATTTTGTCTTGATCGTTTTCTTTTATTGTAAAGTGTGATCTAGAACTTGTCACGTAATGACGTAGAAAAAAGTGGGCGTGAAGACGAGGAAGGGATGGTACAAAGAGTGGAATCTTATCTTGAATAATTGGAAGGATTTGAGGCAGACCTTTGAGCAACAGTGAAAAAGAATGTGTTAAAAATTAAAACTTCAACCTCCCAACGCACGAACTCAAATATTGTGTTCTAAGCATTTCCCTTTACACTGTGTTTTGAGCATTCATTGACTGGATTAAAAATCTTTCTTTTAATAATTATCTGCCTGTCCTCTTAAATATTCCTCAGTCATATTACGTACCTTTTAACATTGTTGCTTGTGTAGGGGCCAGGGGACGCGATGACAAATGAAAAACTGCTTATTCCAAACTGCACTGTTTTTATTGCACACGAGTCACATGCTAAGTACATTGAGAGTAACAGACAAANAAGACGAAAATTTAGGATAGTCTTAATGAGTAACAAATGAAGCCTGTTGCTTGTGTAGGGGCCAGGGGACGCGATGACAAATGAAAAACTGCTTATTCCAAACTGCACTGTTTTTATTGCACACGAGTCACATGGTAAGCCTACATTGAGAGTGACAGACAAAAAAGGACTAACAATTTTTTCCAGAATCGGTTCGCTCCTTCCCCTCCCCGCCGCCGTGCCCGCCCCCCCTCGCACGTGGCGCCGCAGGGCGGCGGGTAGCGGAACCAATCGAATTTAAATCTTAGGCGCGAATTAGTTTAAATTTTAGGCGCGTCGCTAACATCCCCCACCCTAGTGCTGTCACAGCACTCATCACTGAGGATGATAGGTGCTACGTTGGTCACCGACCGCCGTAACCTCCCGGTCGCAGTACGCACTTCGACCAGCCCGATGACCCCGTCCTTGCCCGGGAAGACATGTGTAACCACCCCCTTCGGCCAGGTGTTGCGCGTAGACTGGGGGTCTGCCAGAAAAACAAGGTCCCCGACCTTTACTGATGTCGTTTCATCCCGCCATTTCCTCCGGGGGATGAGATCAGGCAGGATTTCCTTCACCCACCTCTGCCAGTACATGTCAGTCAGTCGTTGCGCCGTACGCCAAAGCTTGCGCAAGTGCAGGTCTGAGTTCTCGTACTTTCCTATGACAGGTAAGTTGGAAGACGTACCGAGAAGAAAATGGTTGGGGGTAAGCGACTCAACGTCCCCTGGTTCGACAGACACGTGCATCAGGGGGCGGCTGTTGACAATATTTTCCACCTCAGCCATCAGAGTGCTCAACACTTCCTCCCGTGGTGCACGCTCAGATAATATGACTTTCAGCGATGTCTTCACGCTACGTACGAGCCTCTCCCACGCCCCACCCCAATGGGGACTGGCGGGAGGGATAAAAGTCCACTCCATCCCGTTGTTAATGCCCTCGTTACTTAACTTTTCAGTGTCCAAAAGCAGCATCGATCGCTTCAACTCCGTGTCGGCGCCCCTCAGGTTAGTACCGTTATCAGAGTAGAGATGAAGAGGCCAGCCACGCCTGGCCGCCATCCGACGCAACGCCATGATCAGCGAGTCCGACGTGAGGGAGGAAACCAGTTCAATATGGACTGCGCGTACCGTGAGGCAGGTAAATAGGACACCATAGCGCTTTTCCCGTCGCCGGCCAATGGAAACCTCCATCGGCCCAAACAGGTCCAGCCCACAGTGTGAAAAAGGTCGCTGGTGTTGCGCAACTCGGGCTTTGGGTAACTCACCCATCCGTGGCGCCTGCGGCCTGCTCTTGCGAATCCTGCACAGCATACACCTGGATACTACGGCCTTGACGGTAGGTCTCAGCCGCAACAGCCAGTAACGCTGTCTTAACTCGTTCACAACAGTCTCCTGATTACCATGAGCCGCCCTCGTGTGGTAGTGACGTACGATAAGTCTGGCTACGGGATGTCGACCATCTAGAATTACCGGTCTCTTCACCTCCATGCTCACGTTCGCCGCGGCGTCGATGCGACCGCCGACTCTGAGCACGCCATGTTCGTCTAGATAGGGAGACAAGGAAAGTAACCTGCTGCTGCGGTGCAATGACCTCTCATTCGTGATCGCAGCCAAGTCATCCGGAAAGCTATCGCTTTGCGATTGTTTTATCAACAACCGCTCAGCACACTCCATTAGGTCCCGGTCGATCTGCCCGGACCGTCCTCTGCAGATATTTATAAATTTTAACACGGTAGCCGTAGTCCGCAACAAACGAAGCCAGGAAGAAAATCGTTCCGGGTCTGGTACGGGCAGATCAACCGAGACGTGTTTCAAGACTGCAACGCACTCTGACGTCACCGTCGGTTCAACTGTGCTCGGCCGAATCACATCATTAGGCCACTCAGACTCATCACAGTATAAAAATTTCGGCCCTGCAAACCATTCCTCCTGCAATGCCATATCGAAGTTCTCCCGAGTGGCTAAATCTGCAACGTTTAATTTTGTAAGTACATAACATACCTCCAGTCCTCCGCACGCGTCAACTCGTCAATCTCGCCTCTAGGCGGTTCGCTTCGAACGCTTTGTACGTGTGCGCGTTGTTACGAATCCAATGGAGAACCGTAGTCGAGTCGCACCAAAAATACCTACGCGCGGGCGCTATTCCATGTTCCTTTCCAATAGTGTTAGACAACCTAGCGGCTAACAAGGCGGCTTGCAGTTCGGCCCGGGGCATCGTCAAAGGTTTTACAGGCATAACTTTGCACTTACTTGCGATGAATGCAACGTGAATAACACCATTCAATTCCCACCGCCAATATGCAACAGTACACATCGCTTTAGTACTAGCATCGCAAAACATGTGTAGCTGTTCGTTAGTATAATCGGATGCGGCTGCTGTCGTAGCGCGGCCGCGGCTCGTAGTCTCTGCTACGAAGCCTTTGGCGCTCGTAGCATTATGTGGCGCGCGCGGGCGCGGGGAGCGATGACGTCACCGGGACAGGTATTACCGTAGCCTGTGTCGTAGCAGTGGAGTCGATCGGCGCGTCGTCCATCTCGCTCGCACTCGCAGGTATCGATGTCGCTTCTCCGTCACTCGCCGCCGTCACCGATGTTTTGCTACACTGTTTATAGCATCTAGGTATGCGTATTGCATGAACCGATTTTAATAAATCAAGCCACTTACGCCATTTCTCGTAAATGCTGTCGGGAATATGTTCGTCCCATGTAGTATGTAGTCGCCAAGTATCTTGTAGCATTATGCGGCCCTGGATGGTGAAAGGAGCTAAAAAGCCTATGACATCAAATATTGACATAATTACCTTTAGCATTAAACGCTTCGTCGGGCGTTCGGTTCCTTCAATAATACATTCCGGGATCCGCTTTAGTGACAAATCAAAACCTAACGTGTCGTCCGCGGGATACCACATCATACCTGTTCACGACCACCTTTTTTATAAGCCTTTTACATACTTTTTTGTACCATAGATTTACATAATTATTAAGAAAAAATAAACCAGTGTCAAACTAGCTTCTGTTTGTTTCACTCAACATAATGTACTTTTTCCAAGGGGGTTAATAAAGAAGCCCACTGATGAGCATGTAAAAGCTTTCCTAAATAAGAAGATACTACAATATCTAGACGGGAGGAAATTAGAAAGTAATAGTACAGGGAGTATCTTTATTGAGCTTGACAATGTGAGAAAAGATCAACCAACGGCATCAACCTCTGGAACAACACCACTTCCACCTTCTCCTAAGATCCAGTCCCCATCAAGAAAGAAACTCAAAGTCTCACCTGATGATGAACAAGAAGAGGACTCCACCGACGATGATGAAGCTTCACCCAACTATCAGGTATCTTATCCTATCCCTACTGGTTCTTCGTATCAAGAGGATGAGATTAGAGAACATGAGGAGAATCAAGGATTTGTAGAAGAAAACTCGTTCACAAAAAAGTTTCCCCATCTACCTAAAATACATTGTCCTCGAAATCTCTTTGTCAATACATTAAGGCCCCTTTATCTCAACAGTTTATATGATACGAATCCCCAAGCCTATCCAAAAAAATGGGAACAGCTCAAAAATAAGGATCCCGTAGCAGCGTGGAATTCACTCAACCAGACCGTTATCAGATACATAAATTCAGCCTATTCTGAACAGGGGGTCAAGATAGATTCTGCTGAGACTGCGATCGACTTCTTCAATATCCAGGATCTCAAACACGAGATCTCAGAAACTATCAAAAAATCTATAAATGAGACATAATGGAATTTAAAATTATTAGCGTAGATATTGTCATTTAATATTTTTATCCCTTTACAAACCTCCTATCTCTAGGAACATTTGAATTAATCATATCCCATCATATTAACTTTATATTACTTCCTTCACACAATTCACTCTACCCTCAGCAGGAGAATGTCAAACCAACTAAATGAGCAACAGACCTCGGAAGACGGCGCCTCCAGCGTCGTCCCGGAGACGGCGGGCCCGTCTACGACACCATCTCCCGCTAGTATTACATCAGTTCCTAAGAGTGCGCGTTCTAATCGCTCTATCAGTACTATGAAGGCTCGCATTTTAACTGCAAAAGCGGAGCACGCTCGACGCCTAGCACAGCTCGACGCAGAGCGAGAGCGTGCCCAGCTTGAGCGCGAGCGTGCCCAGCTTGAGCGCGAGCGAGAACGTGAGTGTGATATTGCTAACTTGGAATTACAGGCCGAGCTGGCCGCCATAGCAGCCAGCTCCTCTCAAAGGTCTCTTAGTAATTCTAGGTCGAGCGTAGAACGTTGGCTGGCACAGTCGACAACTCAGGACACAGATTATAACGCTAATGCATTACTCGACAGGGAACCGTTTCCTAACGTTAAGCCGCAGCCACCGCCGCGGCCGGCGCCACCCGCCACAGCAGATGGAGCCGCCTACACTGCGTTACCGGTCCCTGCGGAGCCGCAGCCACCGCCACGGCCGGCGCCATCCGCCACTGCTGGTGGAGTCTACACAGCGCTACCGATGGCTACATGTTCGCAATCAGCGTTAGTTGTGCCAGCTGAGCCAACCACACAACACATAGATTTAGGCACACGTAAAGAACATCATTGTAATTGCTACCAAAATAAAAAGACTGATCATGAGGGTACACAGATTTATCAGCTGGCTAACGCAATTGCGGACCTTAAGCGGCCTACACAGGTTTGTGAACTCCTTAAAGGACAATGGGCAAATTGGTACCCGGCTCCAATAGATATGTGTCTAGTATCGTTTGAAAGGTCTTACCAAGATGAACAACTTTTACTATGACCACCAGCCTCAGATCTGGTTGTGTACGAAGATATACATACTTTTTTGCAGAATGGTACCCGGCTTCAATAGTTATGTTTGTAGTGTCATTTGAAAGGTCTTACCAAGACGAACAACATTTACTATGGCCACCAGCCTCAGATCTGGTTGCGTTCGAAGATAAAGATACTTTTTGTGTAACCTAAGTATCATACAGTATGAAGGGGGACGCGCTCGGGGCAGGGCACTGACGATAATAATATGGTCGGACGCGGTGAGGAAGACGGTGGGCGGGAGTTTGCATCGTGCGGTCCACACAGCTTATGACCGCAGCCTGTGGAGGAACACTATCTGTGGTCACGATCCTGGGACCGAGGAAGAAGAAGAAGAAGTATCATACGTGTCCATCGTATGGTACTTAGGTTATGCGAGGCAGGAAGGGTTTACTGCTCCAGCATCCTTCCTTAACTCTATAATTATTGATGGGGATAATTGTGAAATAAATATTTTTATTTAAAGAAGTACTACCCCCTTATTAATAAAAAGTTACACCTAGGAAGAACCTTGGATTGACACCAAATGACAATTAAGCCAGAGTTCGACTAGGGTGTAACTTTTATTAATAAAGGGGTTAAAGTTTTATTACTTCTTAAGGGTTTTATTATGGGTTGCTAAAGCGAATTAACCCACAAGACCCAATAAGTCCACCCACAAGATGGACCGACGACCTCATAAAGGTAGCGGGAAGGCGCTGGATGCAGGCCGCCACCAACCGGCCATTGTGGAAATCATTGGGGGAGGCCTATGTTCAAATGGACGTCCTATGGCTAAAATGATCAAGATGATGATGATGAAAGCGAATAAAGGGCTAATAGCTTGGGTAGTTCATCGTAGATATAATCCTTTCCTTTTCAATGCTTCTTTTAGTTATATTAATAGATTGTAGTCATAATACATACTCGTATACATGGATGATTGTGTTATACTTTCATTATAATACTTAGTGGAATTACTGCTTTCAAAACGTGAATTAGAACTGGCCCCATAGCAGACATTTTCCTACATCTAAAGGCCTTTTAAAATATATATTGGTTATGGCTATTGGAGCGGGTACCACTTTCCATACATTTTTGCCCATCATCCTTTGACGGGCGCGTCGCGGACTGGTTCATTTTCAAGAAGGCGTACGACCAGTCGAAGGCACACTTCACCCCAAGCGAAAATGTTGCCAGACTTAGCGCTGCACTGTGTGGAGCTGCTAAGGAGGCCGTCGCAGTGCGCTTGGTTGCTGCTGATGATCCGGACCAGATAATGAAGGCTCTTGAGGTTAGATTTGCACAGCCTGAAGTCATCATTCTTCACCAGCTTGCCATGGTAAGAGCCCTTCCTAAACTCGGTCTTTATGACAACTCGCGCGAATTGAATACCTACTTTTGCCTGTCGTGTTCGCAATTGTATTGATCTAGTTCGCCTACTCAATCAAAGTGAATATCTCGCCTCGCCAGAGTTATCCAACTCCATCATTACTAAATTGACCCCGCTTCTCAGGTCTAGATGGGCTGACTTTGCGGTGGCAAGAGTTGGCTCTGGCAAATTTAAATTAGAAATTTTGTCGGACTTTTTGGAAAACTAAGCAAATTTACAAACGAAATTTGGCATTGTCATGTCAGAGCCGACGTTTGTCAAAAGTCAAAGTCAGCCTGTCAAGACCAAAGACAAAATTTATCAGAATGTAGTTTCGTCTAGTTCGCCTAGTCAACCAAAAAGTTCCGAATCATTGTGTAAATATTGCGCAACCGGTACGCACGAGGTAAGCGAATGTATAGGATTCAAATCGCTTGGTGTAGATGATCGGTGGCATTGGGTCATGGATAATAAGGTTTGCCGCAAATGTTTAAGGAAGGGCTCTCATCTGTATAAAAACTGTAAAAAGCAATGTGAAGTTGATGGCTGCGTGGCGAATCGTAGACATCATACGTTACTTCACAAGCTTAGGTCCGACCTGTCGGCTTTCACGACTCAACCGGAAGAGCAAGCTGCCATCGTAGCGCATAACGCTGCACCGATCGTTAGTAAGCGACAACCCCTACTCAAGATTATTCCCGTGACGCTTTCAGGTAAAAAGGGTAGTGTCGATACCTTTGCGCTATTGGATGACGGTAGTTCCGCGACGTTGTTGGATAGATCAGTTGCTAATGCACTAGAGGATGAGGGACCGAGAGAACCTCGTGAGAATTAATTGCATCGGGGGTCTCACTAAATTGTCGGACGTCTCTTTTGTTAATATTAAAGTGAGAGGCCGGTATAGCTCAGACACTTTCGAGATTCGCGCCCGTTCTATCCCCAATCTCAATCTCAGCGCGCAAACTGCCAGCTTTGATGATGTCCAGCGATTCAGTCACCTTACAGATTTAGCCGACGTCTTAGCTTATGGGAACGCTCAACCAACATGCCTTATAGGAACGGACAACTGGCATCTTCTCTTGACCCAAAGCGTACGTCGTGGTACAAAATCTGAGCCTGCCGCTGCCCTTACCCCTTTGGGCTGGGTACTTTTTGGTTTTATGGGCAACACGGCTAGTTCGGTAGAATTTGTCAATCATGTAAATCAAGTTGAAGATGACCAGTTGGACAATAATTTAGAACATCTGGTTAAAAACTACTACAAATTAGACTCCATTGGCATAGAAAAGAAACTTCATAGTAGTCCTAGCGATAAACGTGCTATAGAAATCCTAGATGAGACTACGGTGCGGTTAACCTCTGGTTAGGACCATAGTAAGTGAGCCTTCTCGTATACCGTGGTTCACAAATGTAGATTTAAGTAGAAAAGTTATGGTTCTCCTGTTCAGACTTCGTTCTGGGCACATTCCGTCTAACAAGTTTGCACATCTAATGAAAAAGTCTGACTCCCCAAACTGTTCAATTTGTAATACGGTAGAAGATGTGCAACACTTGCTGTCGGAGTGTGTTAAAAATCAAAGGGAGCGCCAATCCTTGATGAGTCAACTACATATCTCAGCATCTGATGTAGGGGTTTTTCAANAAAATTTAGTATAGCTAACAAAGATGGTTGCTCAAAACACAAGTAATCTTAAATTGGGACATTCGATTACACAAAGTAATTAAGTATTTATAACAATGCTCTTAACAATACGTGGGATAGGAGTTAAGA